GATATAAACGCTAGTATTCAAAATGGAGTAAGCCACCATTTTAAAGTAACCAGACTCTTCAAATAAATATTGTATCAATTACATCGTTACAACAGTAGGTAGCGACAAGTGACTGGTAAAAATGTATAGCTTATTTGCCATTGAATCATTCATTCATGTTTCGTTTAATAACACTGATTCATCCAGTAACGAAATTAGTCTTAATGAGTGAGTCATTGAATCATTCATTCAAACCGATTAAATGAAATATTTTTAGATAAAAAATTTACATTTTGTCAGAGCCTCTAGTAAATTACATATTATTTTGTTTAGTTGTCTATTCAGAATTGTGGGAGAATTCTGATTCTATTTTAAACAAAAAATTGTGATAATAATATATACTTGAAATTCACATTTGAGTTTTTGTTATTAGTTTTTTATTATTTGTATAAACAAATATTTTTATTTTATACTATTAGTTTACACAATGTATACTGGAAATTCACATTTGAGTTATGTTATGTTTTCCTATTTTACACTATTTTAGACAGTATACACTTAATTCACTTTTAATTAAACATTGTGAACAAAAATGAAAGCAAATAGAATTTAACAAATAAAAAAATATTTTATTATACATTTATCCAAACTTGTGGTATAGGCATATTGGTGCAATGTCTATTAGCCTCCTAGGTAAGAATAAGCTAAAGGAACAAATGTATCATTTCTGACAGTATTGTTAATAATGCATATCCGCTTATATTTACCAATTTTGGCTTCATAATGATTATAGAAGAAATTCGACTTTAAAAACATATTGGATTCCTGCGTTCACATTCATGAACTATTTGGGTTTGGTTTTAAGGCATTCCTGTAATTAGATAGTGCCAACTTCCTGCCATCCTGCTCTTTATTACTACTGAGTTACCCAATACAAACTTAAGTTCAGCCTCTCCCTCCCTGTGTGTGTCTCTGAGGGCTGCTAATAAAGATAATTACATTTGAGAGTTTTAGACTCCCTCCCCCACTCTCATCTTCTCCTGGATTATTTATATAATCTTTTCTCTTTGGTCTTGATCACTGGTTGTAGTCTCCTTTTGTGATCACATTTTCTGTTGCCTAAACTTCATCATTTTTCCAATAAATCTCAGCTTCATAAACTTGGGTTTGAGTTAGTGTTAGGCTATAGTTATTTATAATAAGCTTTATATAAAAACAATAAAAGTCTATGATATATCCTCATTTAGATTAGCTAAGTGTGTGTGTGAGGGGGAGAGAGAGAGCTGATAATTAATTCTCTCTAATCTCTTTACAAACGCTGTCAGTGGTGACTGACTCAAATGAGCTTTGACACCTCAACAGATAGAAGCTGACATCAACTCGCTCATAGGTCCCTCAATCTCACAGATGACCAGGATCGAATATTAATGTTGTAAAAATCTCATGTCGCCAGCTCTAAGCCATAACACTAACAATAAAGCATTTAAATGTAGCTTTAAGGGTGTAAATGAGGGCATTGTGTCAGCGCTGTTTCAGTGACACACACTGGTGATCCTGCCATGATGAGCGTCTGCACTGGGCGGAATCGTTTGGCAAACCTGGGCTTGTGATTATCAACTGTTTGGAGATCTTGCTTTTTACTTTTATTCCCTGAACTGTCTTTTTAGTAAGGTTTTTAGAGCAGAGGTTATCAATCTTTTTGACTCGAAGGCCCCTGACTGTCCAACACAATATTAAAAGTCCCCCTATATACAAATTTTTTTAAATATATATATTAGTGCTGTCAAATCGAATAATCGCGATTAAGCGCATCTAACATAATTTTTTGTTGACATGATATATGTGTGTATATATTGTATATACTGTATATATTCTATATGTGTGTGTCTGTATATATACACACACACACACACACACACACACACACACACACACACATATACATACTGACTTCTATATATTATAATATAATTATATATATTCACACATATTATGTAAACAAAGACTTTTGTTAGATTCTTAGATGCGCTTAATCGATTTGATATATATTTATATAATATTGTTTTTGTATGTACGAGCTATATTATATTATTTACAGAAACAAATGATATTCATAAATTAATTAACCCACAATTTATTTTGTTTGAAGAACTGTATGTATATCAATAAAAAAGAAGGGGTTTTAGTTGATTTCAATCTTGATTTGAATGTTGTTTTTTGTAAAGCTACATTATGTAATTGTTTTCGCCGCTAGGGGTCGCTAACCTCTTGCAATAACAAAGGCGTAGGTTGATGACACAGTGAATAAGCGGAATCATGGAACTTGTCGTCATGCTGATGGATTTAATAATGTTTATGGATGAGTGAAAACATTGATGTTTTTAAAGGAGAACTCTGGCGCAAAATGAACCTTTGGTCTAATTACACATTGTTACCTAGTCAACCGTTATCTGAGATTTGTTTTCATGATTATCGAATGTAAATAGTTTTATCTCTAAAAACAGTTTAGCCTATAAAGCTAGTATAACGCTAGTATATTGGGCATAGTGTAATGACAAATAAAAATCGCTTGTTAATACCACTAACAAGGCTGAAAATAGCCCCACACTAACACGGTAGCATAATGAGGGTCCCTACCTTCAAACCGAAGCATTGAGAACTTTGTCAGTGTCCAGACAGTTTAATAAGAAGATATTTTAAACATACAGTCAACTTCGCGTATACAGACAGGAGCCATCTTTGAAATACAGTCTTTACCAGTCGATCTACGAACGCCGATCCAAGTGCGCTGGTGAGAATGTGAACGAGCTATAAGTTGTGATAAGGTGAGCGCGAACAGCAGGCTTGGATCGGCGTTCGTAGATCGACTGGTAAAGACTGTATTTCAAAGATGGCTCCTGTCCTGTCTGTATACGCGAAGTTGACTGTATGTTTAAAATATCTTCTTATTAAACTGTCTGGACACTGACAAAGTTCTCAATGCTTCGGTTTGAAGGTAGGGACCCTAGATAACGGTTGACTAGGTAACAATGTGTAATTAGACCAAAGGTTCATTTTGCGCCGGAGTTCTCCTTTAACATGACTGTGGTATGAAGCAGGGCGCGATTGCTAATGAGAGACAGATATCAGCTCTTTCAAGTCGAAGTTTGTCGCGGACGTGGAGCTCTCGGCATCTCGAAAACGCCACGCCAAAATTGATCCTCATTTTATTTCCCCTTTTGTCCCAAAGTCTGCTTGCCATGACCCATAATGTTTGAACGAACAAAAACAGCATTCGTGTGCCGCTAGACGTAACGCAGTTGTCCACATCTGTCGCCGTCATGGTTACTATGTCAGAACAAGCTGAAACCAGGGATAACGCGGATATTACGTCATTGACAGGCGAAGTTACAAGGGACGGGCACTATTTAAAATTGTGAATTTCTCTGAATTTACAAATTCTTGGAAACATTTAGGATAATGTAAGCACACAATTGAAAGAAATATATAACACTGTGCAAGTGGTTTTTGGATATTTTGATACACAATTCTTAAATATTGTGCCTTTTTAAGTTTTTTTTTATTTTTTATTTTTATTATGACAACAAAAAACATAAACATAAAAAACATAATGTCTCATACATAGACATTAACATGTAAACATGAAAATAACATACATAAACGTGTGTGTGTGTGTGCATGTATTACTGGGTGTGTAAGTGGAAATAGCTTAACAGAAGAAAATCTTACAGATACAACAGACATGATAAAAATGAACTAAATAGTAATAATAATAATAATAAAAAAAATAATATTTTTTTTTTTTTTTTTTTTTATAATATAAGATTTTAATAATATAAATATTAATTATATTAGTACTAATAATTCATTCAAATAAATTTAAGTCATCATATGGGCACCTTGAATGGTTTCAGTAGTTTGTCATCTGGTTGAGATCCACTGTTTTAAAAGATATACTTTTTGTAATTAGTGGTAGAAGAAACTCAGGGATAGGATGTTGACTTCAGCCAGTAAGCTCCTACCTAGCAACCTCTCAAAACACCCTAGCAACCACTTAGCAACTATTGCAATGTCCTGGCAACCACCCTAACATATTTTCCTTGAGCAAGCACCTCTCGATTTGACTTAAAAAATGAAGAACTATAGTAAGAATTGTTTTGATATGAAAATTGTACTGCAAGAATAATAATTAAAAAAAGATATCCCCATTGTATTCCATTAAACAAATGGTCCTATTTGTATTTCACTGTTGGAATGCTGGAAAATGCAACAAAAGATGTATTATTACGTTGGAAAACGCAAAGAAAAAGTCTGAAGCCAAACCTTTGTGGCTGTATTTTTAAAATGATTTACTCAAGTATGACATGCTTCTGGATCAGCATCGTTGTTAGTGCTGGATGAACATTCAGAAGATCATTTCTCTGTGATCTTAAATTATGGTTGGGAATACCTTTCGGACTGATTTTGATAGGAACGTTGTTCCAGGACTAACAAGGGATGTTGATTCAGTATCATGTCCTAGAAGAACTTGGCACCATGTTGTTGTTGTGTGTGTGTGTGGTTATGCAGACGTGTATACAGTAGAACTTCTGAGCTCTTACGTCACAGCTCTGAGACCAAAAGAAGTCTCCCGTGTTCAGCCTGACCTACATTTGCTGCATATGGAGATTTTCATGGTACACAGTAGCCATGGATGTAAAAAAAAAAAAATATCTAGATAATTCATGACACTTCTGGTGCAGTGGAAGAACCTGTGAATGTAGATCTGGCTTAAAAATGCAGGACTCCTTCTGAAAAGATCTTCTAGAAGAGCATATCACACAATCAATCAATAAATAAAATATTCTTAAAATGATGTTACTCCAGATTCCAGTAAAAGAAAACGTCACACCGTACAATAACAAAAGATTGTGATTGGAAGACCCAGCCTTCAATGGCCTCATTGTATTCTTTATTGTTGTCGGTACATTTAGCGGTCTAAATTACTCTTTTTCTCTCTCTCTCTCTCTCTCTCTCTGCAGTCTGTGTTGTTGCTAGGTGCGGCAGCATTGGTGTGTTTGGCACTGGACCTCCTCTTCCTCCTTTTCTACTCTTTTTGGCTGTGCTGCCGTCGCAGGAAGAACCAGGACTCTCCCAATGCGGACTGCTGCTGCACCGCTTGGTGTGTGATCATCGCCACGCTCGTGTGCAGGTCTGTGAGTTGCACTCTTACACACTTCAACACAAAACACTCATCACCTCATAATGTGGCAATTCACATCATACATTCCAGTTAATCGGGCATCATAAATTTTACACACAAATAAAACTGATTGCAATCCATTCATCTGGGTCTGTTCCAAACAGCTCCCTTGCTGTCAAAATAGGCAGCAAACTGAAATGGAAGCTCGTAGTTGGCTAATCTTAAAAGCTCTTCAAGTGCACGAGAGACTAAGTGCGTGTTAACACTTGGCAGGTTTGGTTTGATTAAAATTAAATCTGGTGCAATAGCCCTGTTAGTGCAGTTCATCTGAATAAGTGTGAACGCTGCCATCCGAACCCTGGTGCGCACCAAACAAGCGGACAGAGACCCCTGAACACGAACTCTGGTGCGGTGTAATATCACAAGATGCAACCCTAAAAAGGACATAATGCTCAAGCATACCTGTTTTTCTCATCATATGAGCTACGTTACTCATTACAGTTTGGTGCAGGCATTGGAAACGCGTCTCCTTGCAGCAGATCTTCGTTTGTGTGTAATGGAGGAATTCTTGGTGCTATTTTGACTCCTTTACACATTTTTATAAGCTCTTTGTGAGTTCTCAGCTGGTAAAAATACCATCATATGTACGCACATATACACACATTTGTATTTTTATGTTTGGTGTTAAAAATGACAGTGTGAACGTAAAGTGAACTAGGACAAAATGTATCATTTTCTTTTTTGGTCTGGACCAATAGAACCAAGAGGACCAAATTACAAGTGTGAACACACTGACAAAGGGTTAGTTCACCCAAAATTAAAATTGCTGTTCCACAGAAGAAAGTCATACAGGTTTGTAATGACATGAGGAAATTTAGGGTACGGTTACAAGACAACGATGTGCTAAAAACAGAAAAGTTTTGTCTTTCTACAGATAACAACGTTATCAAAATGATCCCCGTTCACACGGATCTGCAAAAACGACTAACAATGAAAAGACTTCGCTCTTGCGCACATATGCATACCACAGTGCCTTTGAGCCGAACACACATGCGTATTGACACAAATTACATAATCTATCATTTTTTTTTGTCCAATTTTCATTCTAAGGATGTTCAATTCTATAATGCTGTATTATTACTTTGTCTTCTGGGTAAATTTCGTCTTTGCAAAGCCAGAAACATTCACTGTAATCCCAATTTTAGAATGTTCTCCTCTAATATAAAAAGTCCCTTTTTACTTGCTTTAAGAAAATGTCAAAATCTTTGAACACAAAGGCTTCGAAAAAGTATATATCATCTTTGAGTCTGTTGTAAGGAAACTTTAATTTTTCATGATGACCTAATGTTATACTGTGTTGATTTTGTGTATTTCTTATAACCACTTGTGATTATGACCGTATGCCCCCCCCCCACCCACCCTATTTCTTACTGTTAATATCTGTATCATTTTATTTGCAAAAAAGGTTTAAAAATAAAAGCCTAAGACTAAACACGTAATAGGCCTACACATGTGCATGCCGTCACCATGGTCACCGATTCGCGTTTTGTAGTTTACATGGAGATGATCATTTAAGAAGTTGCTCTGTTTGTTCTTTTGATATATTGCATGTTCAGATATTCATACAACAAAATAATCTGGGGGCCATGTAAGATTTGTGAAAATGACCAAAAATGCTGGCGGTGGCTGGGAAAAATTCTGACGGGGAAAGAGTTAACAAAAGCCAAAAACTAAGAACAAAAGAGCTCTCAAGTAATAGCTGTATGACACATAATTCATGCAACGCATATGGCAGCTTATTAAACGCCTAACCCACGCTGATGAGCGCCGGTGGCCATGATTCATATGAAATAGTAGGTGTGTGTTTCTCCTTGCACAGTGTGGATTGGATGGTAACTCATCTGTATTTTTAGTAATAATCCATGTCTGCATCTCAATGTACAACTGACAGCATCCTGCACACACATTCTTGCTTAGGATAGTTAGGACATTGTTGGATCATTTTTCACAATCCACATGCTGTCACATCTGACAGTTGACCTTGACAATTAACCTCAACATTTTAAACCAGATTTCTTTAGTTTGACATGGTACTGAATTTCATCTTCCTTTTAAACTTGTTCAATCCAGTAAATAGTGAGGTGTTTATGTGCAGTTCTCTAATTATTCCTGTCAGATCTCTTTAAATATAGAGAGAATCCATGCATTTTGGGTGTCCCCCATGCAGATTTTGCTCATCATCAAGTAATCTACAAGTCTTTGATTTTGTACATCAACGGCTTTTGGAAGTAATCATAATCTTATCAAGTTATGTAGCTATTGAAGGGAAAACTCTTTTAAATCAAAGAAAGTTACTCTAATTTTCTATAAATAATAAGCCATCATTTTGCATATGAATTTTACATAGTTTTGTTTTCGTTAACTGTTACTCGTTATTGTTCTAACTGCTTTTGGGTTTTTGCTTTCTTTGTCTTCTGTTCTGATTATTTTCTGGGCTCTCCTCCCATTTATCCCCCCACAAAGGGTCATCAGACGATCTCCTCCTCCCCTCTGTTCCACCCCTTCTGTCTTCCCTCCCTCCTCCTTTCCTCTTCAGCTCATGTCTGTCCTATATCTGACTTCATGCTCTGCCGTTCATGCTGTGATTGACAAACAAAGAAGAGATTATTTCCCTAAGAGAGAGATGGACGCAGAAGAACCAGAGAAAAGGACAATGACGTCTGATTGATTGAGCGAGCGAGATGCAGATAAAGCTTAACGGAGAAAAGAGAGCGAGTTACGGATCAGACTGAGTGATGGGTCCAGGGCAGAGATGAGAGATGTCATGCTGATATGATGGTTCAGATGAAACACATTGTGCCTCATGCATCATTAAGCACATCAAATAGTGCACACGCTCATGGTGTGACCTAAAACACTGTAGCGCTCTCCTAAAAGCTCACTAATGTTTTGTCTTTGAGCTTTAGTAGCCCAATGAATTTACTGTAAACAAATTATTTTCATAACATTCAGTTCCACTAAAGGAATATTCCGGCTTCAGTACAAGTTAAGCTTTAACAACAGTTAGGGTAATGTTAATCACCACAAAAATGATTGTGACTGGTCCCTTTTTATTTAGCTTCCCCAAAAGAATTAAAAGAATTTATTTAGTGAAATATCTCACCATTCACTGATGTATCCAGGTTGCACTCACTCACCATTATATGTTTGGTCTAAAGCGCAGCTGCTCTCATGTTTTGCCGTAGGACAGCAAATGCGAGTAAATTATCTTAGAAATTAATTGTGAGTGTGCGAAGGAACATTTTAGCAACTGTGTGAAAGTGAATAGCATATAACAGGCACAATAGCAGTATAAAGATACATATCTATAGGTTTAATATGCGTCATGTGACTAAACATGCGGCATCTTTTTCAAATACCTCCGTTTTCACAGTTCACACTACTACGCGACAATGGCGTTTTCAAATTTATCGACTTTGGAGAACCTTTTCAAAAAGCTTTGTTTTCGGTAAAAAGGGAGGGAAGGCCAAAAACGTATTAGTGTGGACAAGGCCTGAAAAGGCAAACTTTTGAAAGTGGGTTTTAAAGTGAAGGTTTTTGAAAATGAGACCGTTATCGTCTCCATGTTAACAACACAACCACGAATTTGTGAAATAAGTGAGGGCAAGCACATGCGTATTACTTGTTCAATCTATAGGCACGTAGTTTCTTTATAAAGGGACATCGCCAACTACTGGCCTGGCAGCAGAATACAGCGTTTTTCGTCGTTTTCGCGGATCCGTGTGAACGAGGATCGTTTTGACAACTTTGTCGTCTGTACGTGAAAAACGCAAAGGAAAAAGTTTTCCAATTTTAGTACATCGTCGTCGTGTAAACTTACCCTTAATTTGGATATTTATTTTATTTTAATTCCATTCATTTATTTATTCTTTTCATTTTTGTGTTTTTCAAATTTTTACAGCTTGGACATTTTTGATATATTGTTGTACACTGCAAAAAATAAGATTTTTTTTTTTTTTACATTTAGTGAGGTTTATGCTTCAAACTAATTAAAAATATATTTAAGAAATATTCAAAAACATCTTGTGAAAACAAGAAGTTAATATAAAATAAGTTTTATGCACTATTGCTTCACGAATGAGGATGTTTTGACATGTTTACTGGAAAGAATTAGCCTGGAAATCTAGACGCACCCTAGCAGCAGCGAAAATTATTTCGCAGCCAGTGTGGTCTAGCAACTCTCCATAGGCTTTTGAGCTGGAAAAACCAAAAACTGGTCGGGCCAATCACATCGTGTATAGAGTCGGCGGGCGGGCTTAACACAATGACGGCACAGTTCATGACGTTCCGCGTGATTTCCATAGGTGATTTCCCTGCTACTTGAAAACAATGAAGATGCAGCGGTCTTTCGAATCGGCTTTGGCCGCGACTCTGGAGGACTTGGAGTTAGGAGAACGTCATTTAAGTCATTCTTAAAAAAGGAAGATGTGTTCGGATTTTTGCCGTCCTGATACGGCAAAAGTTTAATATATCAATTAGCTCCGCTGGTGGAAAAACGCATGGGACTCACTCATCCACAACCGTTCGTTGCTCTGGTTGGTTGTAGCGTTATCCTATTGCGTGCAGAGGGATTTTGAAAGGTAACCGTTTATCCCGCCACTCGGATTGAGGCATGTCAATGGAGAGTTCCCAGACCTAACATCTTGATGTAGGTCTGGCATGCCAGGCTAGGAAAGAATAAGACAAAGCTAGTGATGATAAGAATAGGGTTTTTAGCTGTGTGTGTGTGTGGGTGGATTTGTCCTGGGCTAAAGCGACCCGTTTCGGATAAAAATATTTTCTTCCTCTCTGCATTACATTCTCTATTTTTCCCTCTGTCGCCCTTACGTCAGTTTTTTTCCCCTTCTCTCCCTGCCGCTGCCCCCTCGGTGCCTTGGAGATGTTGCCATAGCAACAGAATCAGATTTTGAACATTGAAGCTGCGAGATGAATAATGCACTGCAGGTCTCTGCCAGTGTGTGTGTGTGGGGAGGCTCTGCGTATGTGCCATAGCCGCATAGCCATTATTCAATATCTCTTATCTAACAGTGCCAGATTCTCACGAAGATGTGTCTGGTTGTATCTTTAGGTATTTGTGTTCACTGTTTAATTATTTTAAGTAATTTTGCCTAGGTTTATGAATAACACTTTGGCTCAGTAATTGACCCATCAAGCCAGAATCGATTCTTTTTAAAGCAGCCAGGACAAAAAAAAGAAAAAATTAATGGCTTATTTTCCACAACAATGAAATTTACCTGAGTTGATCTTGTTGTGGTTGAAAGTCTAAGGTGGTTTGTCCTGACTTTTCACATTTATGTTTGAAAATGACCCATATATGTCTGTGCCAACTGCGTCTCTGAATGAACCCACACGAACATCACAAAATTCTGTACTGAATTTCATGGATCATTGTGTTTTATATGGTACTTAAAACAAATGTATACTGCTAGTACCTTTGCTGTTTTTGGTGCTTTTGTTTTTTTTAAGTGTGTTAAGTGTGATTAATAATTCAATATCACATTACCGTCTTAAACCAACACTGTAGCACTTGTGAATCAAATATTTTCATACGCATTATACTTTAACAATTAGCTTTGGTAATAGTTACTATTATCCTCCAAACAGAACTGTTAACATATGCCCACTCACACGATCTAACAGATAAACAAACAAGCCAGTGATTGTGGTCAGTGGTGTTAGAGTGAGGGTTTCTGGGTAAAAGAGGGAAAGCCTAGTCGAGCCACGTGACTCCTGACCTTAACAAAGGATGACAGCTTGACCTCTCTCTCGATATCTCTCGGTCTCACACACTCTTAAGCTTATAAGAGCTCTCTCCTGCGCACGTGGCATCAGATAAAACCCTCACGCATGCACAATAAAACTGCCCTGACAATAATAATCTTGAAATAAATGCGTCATTATCTCACATTAATTCCATTGTGTTAAAGCGGTCATGAATTGAGATCAAATTTGCCTTGATCTTTTGTAAGAGGTCATTGTAATATAAAAACATCCTGTAAGTTTCAGAACTCCAAACTTCCTTGTTAGTCCAAAAACGGCTTTTATTGAAACCAAGCTCTGAAAACGACTTGTTTGGAATTGTCACATTATGATTGAATAGTGCGACGAAAGACCGCCTCCGCAGAATCAAACCAACGCCTACCTCTACCTCGTGTCTTTGTCACGCCCACTGGCACGTTATGAGAAGAGAAGAGGAGAGATGCAGGATCACTGGACTAAAAATAACATTAACTTCCAAAGGATCCTAATGCTAGGAAAGTGGTTACCGTATATACCCGAATATAAGACGACCCTGAATATAAGACGACCCCCCCCCATTTTCCAGACTTATTTTTGGGGAAAAATAGATTTTTGAATAGAAAAATCTGGTTTTCAACAGAAAATAATTTTAAGAACAAATTTCCGAGGCGTTTTTCCAAATGCCTCGCATCACCTGTGCCTCGTGTAGAGGCCCGCTCGTCGCCAGAGACCGGCACATATGCGCTTCCTGATTGGCCATGACTGCGGCTGCCCTGAGTGCGACGGGATGGATTTAACCACCCTGCGGGGTCGTCTGGCCGTTTTCGACATAGACAGTAAAAGAAATGGACACAACGACCCCATAGACTTCAACGGAGAAAAGTGAAGTCAATTAGAAGCACTCACTTCCTGATTGCCAAGCGCACTGCGCAGGCTCACACTGAGCTTGATGACGTAGATGTGACGTGAGCAACCTGTCTCACAGCTGTACGTCTTCTAGTAGCGGTGCCAAGAGGAATCTGAATCATTCCCTTCCGAATCTTTCAGAGCCAGAGATGGTGAGTATTAGCTGTCCATGAGCTCGTAGAAGGAGCAACGGGCTTCTCCCTTGACTTTATGCCTCCACGTCCCCCCGATTGCCTGTGAGCTTCTACTTCTGTCTATACGGTCATTTCTCTACTGTGCGACAGAGAGTCGCGTGTTATGACGCAATCGTTAACCTATTTTTACAAAAACTGCTTCTACGGGGCCATAACGTAAGATACAAGGTAATGGAGCCTTTTATACATTGTCGTGTTTCTTTAGAAATAAACAATGGACAAATGGAGTCTTTAAACGCCTCAGATGTAAAGTTATTCGCTGTCAAAGTGACTCCAAAATGAATGGGAGTCAATGGAATGCTAACAGCAGGTGAAGGCTTGTTAGCCAATGGCGGCCCCCGGGGAGACTTCAGTTTCCGGCTGGTGGATTACCCCCTTGGTTTTCGACGACGATCCGGCTCCCGCTCTCTCTCTCTCCCTCTGCTCGAGCCGCGCAAGAAAAAGCGTTAATTTTAATGCCTAATCTGTGATCAGAGATTTCTGATATGTAATTGTTTATGTACAGTCAGACGTTCTTTGTCTCAAAATCGTTTATTGCTGTTTATCAGTAAATCAAGCCAGTGAAAAACAGTCATCTTCACATTGTTTCTCTTAGTAGCATGGATAATCTGTTATTTAAATTGTATTTAAATTATGAACAGAAAGCAATCAAAGAGCCCTCCCTTTATAATAGCTGGAGCTGTCAATCACACAGCCGTTATTATCAATGACGATGTCTACACTGCACAATGGATTTCTTATGTACATTGTGTTTGCACCGTTAGTTATGATGAAAGCGTTCGTGAGAGTGCAGAAATGGAGTTGCATTGACGAGATGGCAGATATATCTTTTGAGCGCATGAATGCAGTCATCAGCTCAATGCTCATCACTGCAACCTTTCATGACACCGGAATAGATCTGAATATAATGCTATAATCAACACTTTTCACGATTAATCAATCTCGACAGCTGTAACTGTAAAAACTTAAAATATTTATATGTATGTGTGTTTATTTTTTATATATGTATATATATATATATATATATATATATATATATATATATATATATATATATATATATATATATATATGTGTGTGTGTGTGTGTGTTTTATTATAATACATGGTAGCAGGGGCGTAGAATTTAGTAGGGACGCTAGGGACGTGTCCCTACCAATATCCAGTGACACTGATATATCCCTAGCAATATTTTCGATCAAAACTTTAAATATATTAAATATTGATGTCCCCGTCCCCACCAATTTCAAAATCAAACCTACGCCACTGCATGGTAGTCAAGTCAATAAAATAATTGTATTTTATTTGTGCACGCAAAATAAAGTGGCTATAGTTGTTGTCCAGCATGTTAAAATCCAGTGTTAGAGCTGCATTGATTGTAAACAATGTGTTATACTTTACTGATGCAAGCCGATAATTTTAGGGAAAGCCCATGGTTCTGTGTTTTAATGTCTTTGTAAAAGCAAAAACCACACCGTTGATTCAGTTAAGTTCAGATCTGCTATCCTGGTCATTTTCAGGGTCTTCAAGAGTTTGTTGTAGTCTTAAGATTCCAGAATAAAGACATTGCTTGTGTGAGAGAGTTATTACATTCTATATAAAAGAGTCTGTCACAGTCACATGAGCTAATTCCTATTTTGATGACTTTCCCGCAGTGCTGGCATTGCAGTCGGTTTCTATGGAAACGGCGAAACGTGCGATGGCGTGACACGACTGACATATTCCTTGCGCCATGCTAACCAAACAGTGGCAGGCATCGACAAACTGGTGAGTCATTCACTATTTTGTTTGTTCTGAGCTGTGGACAATTTGCTGTATCCAAGTGTTTAAAAGAGACTTAAATGCCCTTCCGTTACCAGTGCTAAACACTTTGCTTAACACTCTCTACATATTTTATTTTCGTATTCTATTTTACAGCCCTAACTAATAAGTGCATGGCATACCAATACTAAAGTACTACTGTTGTACCAAAAATCTACCACCGCCTCTACTGAACATCCCACTGCTGTTGCTAGAGAGTTCATTGCCCTTTGATGAACACTTTAACTTGAATAAACACTACTTCTCTTGCCAAATACTTCACTGCACCTCCATGGCCACAGCTACAATCCCCACCATGCATGGTTGTTAAATGGTAATTATTTCATAAGGTCATGAGCGCAGACAGATGCGTTTGGCGAGTGCGCACCATCTAGGGAACTTTGTTTTGAAGTGCTCAAGTCACTCGCACATGCGCTGTTGAATTTTACGAAAATTACGACAGAAGACAAAGTTGGGCTTTAGAGAACCAGAGAGATAATTGAGACTAGTGATGCACTGCAATGAATTTTTTGCTGAAAAACTGAAATAGTTTCCATTTAGCCACAAACCAAAATAGTTTATTTAATATAATTGAATAATTAGTTGTATATAAGCATTTAAATTGCTCATATATTTAGCAAAATGCTTCTCTCTAGAGTTATTTTTTTCTAGCTGACTAATGAGCTATGGACATTGAAGGGCTTTCCTGAGGTAAATGTAACATGATGGGACATAGCCTATTGTTTACAATATATGTTATTTTATTTCTTTGAAACACTGAGGGATTACCTGAGACATTTATTTATGCATCAAATGAAAACAGCATAGACTAAGAGCATTTTTAGACCTGAAGATCATTTGCTTTGTTTCCGAAACAGGGACTCAAATTGTTACAATGTTGCATTTTCTTCTGGGTTCTGATCGATTTCACAAGGCAAAATTTCAAAGCATACCAAAATGTGCTTATGCAAGTCACATGAGAGTAAAACGGTCCTCTTATTGGTCAGTTTCCTCTGCGTCATCCATCAAGATGGATTGACTCAGCGGTTCTCAAAGTGTGGGGCGCGCCCCACTGGTGGGGAATAGAGACGTGACAGGTGGGGACTGGGGCGCGCCAAACGGGAGGAAATTTTCCTTTTTATGCCTTTATATCTTTATCCAGACATCCCAAATGTCCCGGAAGTTCCGGGAGTCTCCCGCATATTGATAGCGGCTGCTTGACGCCCGCAAATGAGATCCAATCTCCCGGAATCTGGAGCAAGACCGCGCACTAGAGTAGAGAGTGACTGCGCGTGTGTGTGTGTGTGTGTGTGACTATTAATGCAGCGCGTGTGAGAGCAAACCGTCCTTATAGCTGTGTCTTGCCGCTTATTAGACCGATCACCCCCGGGGGCGACAACAAGTAACAGGAATTCCCCACCCCCAAAATAATGATTGACGTGACGTCGGCAAATTAATTGTAGCGGAACAAACTTTTGCGCCCATAGATATGTACCCTATGTTTCGCGCCGATGGGTAGCCAGGCGCGCTGGAAGCTGTTTCATGCGTAAGTGGGGGCTGAGGGCTGGGTTGGAAAATATGTGACGTCATTATGTTGTGGCTTACGACAAGACATGAAATTTCTCTGAACATTGAAAATGATTTGAGAGTGGCAGTATCAAGCCTGCAACCCTGCTTTGATAAATTGTGCAATGCAAAACAGGCTCATTGCAGTCACTAATGCAGGGATAAATAGACCTGTCTTGCCAAATGGATTTCTCTTCTTTTCTTTTTTTAACAGATTGCAAAGTGGCACTTTTATTTCTTTTCTATTTTTGAGGCACTTTTATTTTCTCTATTTTTGAATTTCATGCAAGTTATGACACAGATGCACTTCATTTTCTTTATTTTTAAACTTGCTGTTATTTGATGTAGATAGTTAGTTTGTATTTAGATACAACTTGTTACTATACTGATTACTGAACTACTTGTTACTTCAATAAATTGGAACATTTTAAGCTTGTTACGTATTTCATTAGCATTGTGTCGGGGCGATGGGGGCAGTGGGGCTTGAAAATCCCCCCTTGTTCAAAGTGGGGAATGACCGAAAAAGTTTGAGAACCACTGGATTGACTAGTTCACTCAACAAGCTTCTTGGGGCTTCATCTGTAACTGTTGAGACACATGCAAACACTTATACGAATGTAGCCATCATTCCCGCTCTAACTGATAAATGATATATACTGTATATATATTTTAAGATGAAGAGGCACTCTTTGCTTTTCAACTGCGATAACTAATGTTCTCACTCATAGAATCAGACACTACTGCTTTTTATATTAATTATAGTATATTTTAATATACCACATGGTTCTTTGGCCCATTGGGTTGGATTGCTTTCTCATGTCAACCGCCCTAGTTTGTTTTCAATTGGTCCGAGACCACCTTGTTCTGGTAATCTAGAAGCGATTTGTTTTGGTGCGGATCCGAGCGCTATTGCTGTGTTCATGTATGCCTAAATGAACCGAACTAAGGGAGAAAACCACCAGGTTCTGAAACAAACGTTTCAAACGAACCAGGTGTGAAAATGCCCTAAAAGATAAGTTCATCAAAATGAAGATTGATTAAAAACCTCAATATCGATATTGTCAACCCATCCCTAATGCCCATGACACTGACACAGCCAAAACATGTCATCGGAGAAGTGCTAATTAAACTTCACTGAATGCAAATGGGATTTTGGTCCCTCCGAACATAGCTATTTTTAGGCTTTTTGCCTTTTATTTAGATAGGACAGAAGGTAGACAGACAGGAAATCACGGCAGATGAGAGAGGGGAATTGGACCGGGACAGGACCTCACGCCAGGACTCAAACTTGGGTCGCTAGAGTGCAACCGTACCATATGTCAGAGCACTTGCCCACATGGCTATGGCTCCAACTGTTTTAACATAGGTCAACAACCAGGTCCTGGTCTAACACTAATGATATCATTGTAATCTTCCTATTTGATTCAGGTGGCAGAAAAAAATATGGATCTGATGAATTGAGCCTAACGTATTTCCTTTTACGCTTTTTTTTTAATTTTAGGTATCAGAGAGCAGCAGCAGTCTGAATGAAACCCTGCAGGAGGGTTTGGTGCAGCTGGAGACTGTGTACTCCAAGCAGACAGACTACCTGTCCATCGTCCAGAAACTGCAGGGTCAGCTGGATGAGCTGATCAATCTGATGGTGGACGTGCCTTTCTGGAGCACTACGGATCTCTCTTTGGATCACCTGGCATCCCTCACTGAGCAGTTTGACTGGTACAGGTAATTATAAAGTCCAGTCAAATCATCTTGATCTGTCTAAATTTGTTTCAAAGGTATTACAGCAGAGAGTGGTGGTTTCTTAAATCCTGTCGATTTTTACAAAAATGTAGTCTAGTGTGATTTGTTTGCAGATGACACATGCTTTTCTTTTTTTTTCTTTTTTTTATCTAATTCAATGGCTTTCAGGCATAAGTATGACTTAAATGTCCAGAGACGTTAATAATGTAGAGTACACAATAGAGTTATTCAGTAATAAAGTCCAGACCTGTTCTTACTTTTGGATAGTTCTAAAGAAATGTCCAGCCACCTGGAAGTGATCGTGTGTGTGTGTGTGTTTTGTAGGTGGTTGGGTTATCTGAGCCTGCTGCTCTTTGATGTTGTTATCTGCCTGCTCGTTTTGGTTGGTCTCATACGCAACTCTAGAAGCATCTTGATCAGGTGAGTGCAAAAATGATTAACACATGTTATTATTTAATATCACACACAATAGCCACCCATGTAATCTATCACAAAAAAATGCCTAATGAACTAACTAATTTCAGTTGAGTATTTCAGTTCTAATTTTATTTTTCAAGTATTAAAATGATTTTGAAAACTCGATAAATAAAAGCTAAATAGAAATATTTACAAAAAACCAAAGCTAATAAAAATAACAAGCACCTAACAAAATGACTAACTTAAAGTTGAAATAAATATACTATAATAGGATATAAATGCTACTAAAATAACACTTTGTTTTTTAATTATGTTTGTGGGCATTATTGAATTGAGCAGGGCGGTTTGAGATGTGACATGACAGTGTAGGAAAATGACCCGGATTTGAACTCGCGTCTGTAGAACTTGAATAAATGTAACTGACTTTGACTATCACAACAAATGAAAGTGTAAGAAAAAAGAAAACTGGATGTCAATGTTGCAATGCAAGATCACATGATATTTCAAGATAAATCATAAGGGCCTTTCTTGTTTTCCTGGTGCATTGCGGGAGGTTGCCTCAGGATAAAATCCAATCCCTGACTTTACAGTTTCAGTTTGGAAATTTCCAGGTTTAAAATCGTTGTGTGAAAATGCCTATTTTTAGCGTGTAACTATGCAAAATTGAAATCCATTCTCTGAAAGCCTTTAGAAATAGAGAGAGAGAGAGAGAGAGAGAGAGAGAGAGAGAGAGAGCACGAATCAGAGAGAGTTGTCAGTGGAGAGATGGATTCAGGCAAAATAAAATCTATTTAGTATACAAGGGAGGGTGAAGATCTCCCCTTGATTCACTCTGACTCACTTTCTCACTCCTTCTGCTGCAATAAGACACCTCTTCTGCCGTGTGTTGTGTACGTGTGTTTGTTTGTGGTTATATTAGTGTTTGAGGGTGCATGTGTATCTAGAAGCACATTTGGTCAGTGGGAGGTTGTTTTAATCCCCAGAGATGTTTACTAACTGGGTTACTCACTATGACCCTAAACGAGTTTAAAAAGAAACCAACCAGAAAATATCCATAAACAACACGGATGCATTTAGGCTGTTGACAGTAATAGCATTAAAAGAAACCTCAAATAACACCCATTTTTGTACAGGTTTGTGCATTTAAAGAAGCCATATTATGCCCTTGATTTTGTTTTTGGGGTCTACTAGAATAGGATTTCATGCTTGAATGTTAAAAAAAACACTTTTTAACAATTCTTTTTAACATATTTTACATTGTTGCAGAACCTCTCTAACGCTCTGTTTAGTTCCGGTCTCTATGAAGCCCCTCCTTCTGAAAAGTACAAGGTGCTCTGATTGGTCGGCTGGACCAGTGTGTTGTGATTGGTCAACCACCTTTGAGCATGTTTCGGAAATGTCATGCCCCTTTACCAGAACCCTGAGTTTCAACACACTGCTGTACTGAGCGTCCAAAGTCTTCTAATGTATATGTATAAGTATGATTGTAAAGACTGAGGGATGAGTGCAGTTTATTAATTTTTGTGGTAATTTATAATCTTACTCTATTTCTATCCTTTAGTGTTTGTTTGCTAGGTGTGCTGACGCTGGTGATCAGCTGGGCTTCACTTGGGCTGGAGTTTTCTGTTGCTGTGGTGCGTAAATTAGCAGAAACATCTTCAATTCTCTTCACCTTTATGCTGATATTTCTGTTTGGCTCTATAGCAGTCTAAAGAGAGTTTGAATCATAAAGTAGAGCCAAATTATGTGGAGATTGTTTTAATCAGGAAAATATTGGCATTCTATGTAATAAAATAAGTATATACACTACAATTCAAAAGTGTGGGTTCGGTAAGATTTTTATTGTAAAATATTTAATAAGATTTAAAATAACTGATTTCTATTTTAATATAATTTTCAAATGCAATTTATTCTTGTAATGGCACAATTTTCAGCAGCCATCATGCCATTCTTCAGTGTAACATGATCAGGGTTTGAAATTAACTTTTTCACCAATCTGGCTACTAAATTTAAACATTTTCACTATTGCTTCAATGCAATTGAACAAGCTTGCTTTTATTTGTTGCGTAGTGACGTGTATGTTCAAGTAAGCCAGATATGCGCAGATTCTGCGCAATATGCTGTATTTAATATATATAATGATGATTCACAAGTTGAGTGTTTGCACTAAATCAGCGCAGATTTGTCTTACACGAACTTCCCCAGCACAGTGAGTAAACATCATAAGTAACACGCCACATTGGCTAGTGATTTGACAGCATTACCCGGCCGCCACAGTTGATTTTTACCTGCGTTTGGCGGGTGTTCATTTCAAACGCTGAGCACGATCCTTCAGAAATCATTCTCATATGCTGATTCGGTGCTCAAGAAACATTTCTTATTAATAATAATTTTGAAGACAGATTTTGATGAATAGAAAGATAGCATTTATTATAATTTTTGTTGTTGTTGTAAAAATGTTAATTAATTAATTGTCCATTTTCATCAATTTAATGCCTACTTGCTAAATAAAAGTATTAATTGCTTAAAATAATCGTACTGACCACAAACTTTTGAATGGTAGTGTATGTTTGAAATGAGAATTATAAATAACTTAACAATCAAGTATGTGGCTTTAGTCATTTAAATATCCATAAACATTTGAAAGTTTGTGTCTTTGTACCTGTATTTGAGTGCTTGTGTCCTTGTGTTTGAGGGTATGTAGACGTGCTTCATGTCTTGGTCTCTTCCCTAGACTGCCAGTGATTTTTGTGTTGCCCCTGACTCTTTCATCACCAAAGTGACGCGTGAGAACGCCGTTATCAACCAAGGTGTGTACTCCCAAGTCAAGTCCAGTTTATTTGTCTTTTGCACAGTTTACACTGGGTTCACATTGAAATGCTTGTGACTAGGCTCAGATCACACAAAAGAAAGTACTAAATACTGGACTCAAAAACTCAAATGCCATTCATTTTAATCGTTTATTTATGTATTTGATTTGTGTTTTATTTACATCATATACTGATAATTCAGTGCATATCGATGTGTATCAAGTCTTGAAGTCAATACTCCTCACAGAAAATGTGTTTGCTGACAATCGCTCTCATTCATTCATTCATTGCTTTAAATGTTCTGAAGCATTGCTATGCAGAGGAGGCTTTCTTAAAGGGTGTTAATGTACAAAGCAGGTTTTGTATCCTGCACTCAGACCTTGGCTTTACTGGATAGACATGGATGTCATTGCTAATTAGTTCCCACAAGCTAAAAAAAAAATCAGCTTTGCATCACAGGAATACATTACATTTTAAAATATATAAAAATAGAAAACTGTTATTTAAAAAAATATATGATATCAATATTTTTATATCATGTAATAATAGCAAATGATAAATACACAACATTTCTGAAATTAAAATTAGTTTACACTATTTATTAATTCACTCAAACTTATTTTAAAGTAAAAATGATGTTATTATATTGTTGTTATATTGGGATTTCTTACAGTGACTTTTCATGATTTATTTTTTACATCTGCTCCTACTAAGAGTGTGATGATTTAGATCCTGAGGTTAATTAATCATTAAACCTCCGCCTGAGGTCAATCCACTGCTGCTCCTCTAATTCTCTTCTTTTTCTAGCACACAAACATGCAGTCTTATGGTTCAGATGAATCCAGTGTCTTTACAGTCATCTCTCTCATACACTCGTACTCACATTCACACTGCCAACTGGCTTCATTTGTTATGACATTAAGTTTGTTTTCTTTGTCAGTAATCTCAACCAGCTGGCTTAGTAAATAATAAACTAGTGGGTCACAGTGACTCATGAGAGGCAGATGCATGTACTGCTACCAACAGATTTTTGTTAGTTTGCATTACCTGTTTTCTTTGCAGAGCGATTTCAACAATAATTCCTTATCTAATCTAGAATTATCTGTTTGTTGACCAACGGAAGATGAGAGGAATGATGCGGAAACCTGTCATTATGTGATGATGAGTAAAAGAATGATCATATTTATTGGATTTCATATGTATTTATTATTATTTATGCTCTGTGTGTGTTAGATATCCTGCAGTATTATCTGAAGTGCAGCATGGGACAGACCAACCCATTTCAGCAGGTACTTAATTACTCTCGCTCTCTCTGTTCTCTTTCAAATGATCTCGTTCTCTTTCATGAATTATACATTATTCTTCTGATTTGCAGAAACTCTCCGGGAGCCATAAAGCTCTTGTGGAGATGCAGGATGATGTTTCTGAGCTCTTGCGTTCCGCTATCAGAGAATTCCCCAAGACAAAGGTGTGAGATTGCGGATGTCTTTAAGAGTAAAACTGTGCGTGGCTTTACTCCGTTTTCCGAATGTTTATCTGTTTATGTTCTTCGTCTCTCTCTGGGTTGGTTATCAGAGTAACCTGGAGGAGATGCAGGCGGTGTTAAACTCCACTGAAGTTAGCCTCCACCACCTCACTGCCCTGGTCGATTGTCGGAGCCTGCACATGGTATGCGTGTTTTGTGTAGAGATTTTTTATGACTCATCTCGGTTTACAAAATGTAGTGACAAAGTGATATGATTGTGAATGTTAAAATATGTCGCCTCTACCCCCAGTGTCTTACAAAAAACTTTTAGATGCACAATTTTACATTTATTTATTTATTTCACGATTATTATATTTTGTTTAGATTATCATAGTTATTGTAAAGCATGATTTTTATGATGGATTTTAATACTATAAAAGTGATAATATGGGTGTGGGACAAGGGTAAAACAAAGACAATACATAAAATGCTTTTTGAAAAATAGCACAAATAAATGATGGTAAAATGTTTAAGACATACACTACCGTTCCAAAGGTTGGGGTCATTAAGATTATTTATTTATTTTATTTTTTTGAGAGAGAGAGAGAGAGAGAAAAAGAAATTAATACTTTAATTCAGGACGCATTAAATTGTTCAAAAGTGACAATAAAGACATTTATAACTTTACAAAAGATTTCCATTTCAAATAAATGCTGTTCTTTTAAACTTTCCATTCATCAACGAATCCTGAAAACCAAAGCAGCATATTAGAGTGATTTCTGAAGGATCATGTGACACTGAAGACTGCCGTAACGATGCTGAAAATTCAGCTTTGCCATCACAGGAATAATTTACATTTATAAATACATTCAAAAAGAAAAGTAACTTTCACAATATTACAGTTTTGACTGATTTCTTGATCAAATAAATACTTTTGTGAGCTTGAGACTTTTTTCAAAAACCATTCAAATATCTTGCTGACCCCAAAATATTTGATATGGGTAGTGTATAAGTAAAAGAAAAAGCGTTAGTTTTAATAAAAATCAACCCCTTGAAGGAACACCCATATATTGCTTCCCACGATTGTGTTTGTACTTCCTTTACAGTGTGCAAAGACTTCTAAAACAAGAACAGACTGTTCATTTGACTCTTCATCTTTTTCTTTGTCTCACAGGACTATGTCCAGGCTCTGACTGGACTGTGTTACGATGGAGTTGAGGGTCTCATTTATCTGGTCCTTTTCTCATTCGTCACTGCGCTAATGTTTAGCTCCATCGTTTGCAGTGTGCCTCACACCTGGCAGAGCAAGAGGTGAGCGGGCAAGGGTCAAAAGAGAGGGAGGGAGGGGTGCAGGAGGGCAAAGTACCTTAAACTCAACTCCAGTAGATAGACAAGGACTTCATTTCATGGACATAGAATTGACTGCCAGTCACGTGTGTTTAATGCTTTTTTCACATCTGCTCCTTCTGTTTTCACATATTAATCATCTTCTCATGACCGTGTAGTTTATGTTGTCTTGTCGTTCATTCCTTTTTGTGTCATAGATTTGGAAAACCCACTGCCCCATAGTATGTGTAAGCGACACGCTTTTGTATTGCTCAATGGGTTACCTAAACATAGCTTGCATATGAAAGAAAAATAGTAGTATATTTTGAACGGAGTAATTTGAATTAAGGCGATGGAGGTATTTGCTTTTTGACTCACGGTGTAGCATCTGTCTGCGTCAGTGCGTGTGTTTCTCTGCAAAGGGAAAGAACAAAGAGACCCTATTCCAAATTCTGTGCAAAGGCAGACTGATATTTCTGTGGAAGATGTTGCCTCCCTTTGGACTTATGAAATTGCAAGCAAGGCTGATGTGCATTTGTGAAGAGTATCATCATCATTGAAACTATGTTGGTGATGTGAAACTGTTCATTTGTCTAGATTACACACTCGGCAAGGTGGTTTGGAAAAGGTCTGTTAAGAGTTACACGAACAATATGTCGATCAAAGTGGCATCCAAATCTACACCTTCACAGATCCACTTTTTCTTTTTTTAATTTCTTTCCTTTAAAATGCGTTCCTCCCCTCCCCCCTTTGTTACGTTTCAAATCCGATTCATAGTGGGTGTTTGTTGATTTAATGCATGACTCAAATCACTGAGAGAACGTTCAGTGGTTACTGAGGACAATCCATTGGACATGCAATGGACATCCACAGTAGTTTTTGTGAGTTTTAAGTTCTCTTGAATTGCTTCTGACTAGCATCATTTTAGTACTTTTACTTTCTCTATGGCTGTAGGATTGTTTTGACTTTTATTTTACTTATTTATTTTTTACATTGACTATGCACATGTATTAAAGCAAAGACATACAAAAAATGAATGGAGACGTTTTTTGTTTGCTTTAGCATCCTGACTGCCAATTTTACACTTAATCTAAAAATGCCCTGATGACTCTGATTGGTTTGTAATAGGTTGTAATGAGCCTAGATTTTCCATTAGTTGGCAGATAAACCATTTCCTAATTAGTTCAACCACAACATTCAGTAAGCCATTAAAAATCATGAATAAAAAAATCACTTGAGAGCATCAAGACTTCATGTACATTAGATTTTTCAGTAAAGAGTCAAATTATTTGAAATGATTTTAATTCAACATTTATTTTAATATAAATAATATCTAAAATATAATAATGTACACTACCACTCAAAAGTTTGGACTGTTTTAAACATTCTCTTATGCTCACTAAGGCAGCATTTATTTGATTAAAAACAAGGTAAAAACAGTAATATTGTGAAATATTACAATTTAAAAAAACTGTTTTCTATTTGAATATTTTGAAAGTTTAAAATGTATTTTAATTTAATACTTTTTTTATAGCCATTACTAAGATATGCAATATATCTCTAAAAGCACATTGCTTGGCTAAAAGGTGTTGAGAGGATTTTATTTGTTCTACTCATTGTAAGTGTGGAGTTGAATGAGATAAAATTGAATCTGAATGCATGCAATTCATATAAAACATGCAGTGACTCTAGCTTGAATAAGTTGGAGTGGGGGGGTGGGTTCTAAAAAAAAAAATAGGCCTATATATATTCCCACATAGTCATTAAATACGCTCTCAACAGAACTTTCCCTTTTGTCATGTTAACCGACAGAGATGAAACTGAGAAAACAAAAGCATTTGGCGTGAAAACTGGTTTTAAAGTTGTATTATTCACCAAGTCTAGTGAGAGGAGAGACTTTTGCCTTGCCCTGCCCTCCCCTCCGACCCAGGGGCACGTGTTTGACCTGTGCTAATTTGTCTGAAGGTCTGAGGAGGAGGATGGCGATGAGACTACGGCCACACTCGGGCCGCGAGCACCGCACGATAACCTGTACCGCGTGCACATGCCCAGCCTGTACAGCTGTGGCAGCAGCACCTACGGCAGCGAGGCTAGTCTCCCCGCTGCGGCACACACTGTCAGCAACGCACCAGTCACTGAGTACATGTGAGTGTAGCCACGCTAAACTCATCCTAATGCATGGGCTGGATCTGAAGGACCGTACCGGTATGACAGGTCCTGTAGTATAGGTTCGCAAGCATAGATTACTGCATGGGCTTTGCTGTATTTACCGTAGGTTTTCAGATTTCAGTTGTTAATACTGCATGGGTTTTACTTATTAAAGTTATTATAAATATAGAGCTGTAAACAGCGTGTAGAAACAAACATATTATGGCATGGGAAGTATAAGCAGATTAGGGCTGCACCATATTGGAAAAAAATGATATTGCAATATTTCGTTTTTCTGCCGTATATATTGCGCGACATAAACTATTTCACCAGATGACTTGAATAGCTCTTTTTGGATAGAATTAATAATTCTAGAATGATTGGGATGATTTTGTAGGGCAGTAAAACTGCATAGAATATAATAAACAAATTACAAGCATGGATAAATACAATAGAACAAAGATACAAATGAAATAAACGGTGCTTCGTTTTTCAGGTGAGTCTAACAGTATTCAGGTACAGAAATGTAAAATAAAACTGCTTAGTCTTAACTGTATAAATTAAATATAATTAATCTTTGTTAAAGCTGCAAAAGTGATTTTCTTTTTGTATTTTGGTGTTTAATTAACAGCAGCGGGTATATTAGGCTGCTGTCACTTTAAGATGGAATGCACAGATCCAATATAATGATACGCATCTGTTTTCTTTCTAAGTTGTTTTATGTTCACGTAAGCCGTAAGTGACTATTTACGAGGATACTCGGCGAGACAGGCATGTCCGCTCAAGCACAAATAGATGTGAAAGAGAACTAAATTCGGTGTTCAAGTGTGTGCGCAGCACAGAAAACAGTGCGCGAGTTTCAAATTGAGTTCTCTTTCGCATCTCCTTGCACTCGAATGGTTTAAAATGGCTTAAATGTTTTAACTGACAGGACCTAAAACAAGTGCACATAATAAACCTGCGCTCTATGATGGTTAAACTTCGCAATTAATCTGAGAATCACATGCCTGGTCCGTATGGATCGACTACGATCCCTATACTTTACATAGGGATGCACAAATCGATGCTAAAACAATATATCGTGCAGCCCTAAAGTAGATAATTCAGCTTGTGCAATTAGGTTTACCCTGTAAATATAGATGATGTTTCACACATCCTAAGCGATATCTATAATGTACCTCTACATATATAGTGGATATGACTTAATATAGTGCATAGTGGTATCACCCAATGGCTTTGCGCATTACTCCTACCCTGCAGTTCAAAGCTTTGTCAGATTTGTAAAGTTTAGTGCATCGCGGTGTGGAAATCCCTCCCATGAAGAGGGAGTCAGAGTAACTGGTGTCTCGTTTGTGACGCAGGAGCCAGAATGCTAACTTTCAGACCCCTCGGTGCGAGAACACGCCACTCATTGGCAGAGAATCCCCCCCGCCGTCAGTAAGTGCACAAGCACATTTACACAAACACACATGTCTGTAGATGTACAGTCGCTATTTAGCGTACTGTCACACATTCAGTTACTCTTTTATTAGATAGCATGGATCTTCCTGCAACCCTGCCCCATGATTGACACAACTGATTTGTAGTTGCCCTAAATTGCTTAGATAATCCAGACAACAGGATGTTAGAGTGGTAGTATTTATGCCTGTCTCTTACTGATAAGTATGTAATTACCAGCTTTGACAACTGTCAAACTTCGATTTTACCATAGTTATATTATATTGGTGAACACTGTCAACCCAAACACATACATAAAGAGTCTGGAAGGTCATTTTGGCAGCCTGTATGCAACACTAATTACAAGTCGTCTTTGCATAACCGCCACAAAAAAGTCCTCACAAAGAACAAGGTGAGATGGCACGAGCCAAATTTCTGTCATCATTTGTTTATTTTCTACCTTCGAATTTGATTGATAGGTTCTCTTTTCCATACAATAAAAGAAAACGCCAATGGAAATGACGTGGTCCAAACATGACAAAAAAGCACTGTAAAAGCTATTTATACAACCAGTCTAGTCTTAGATAGCTTTATGTGAGGAACAGACCTAAATTGTCATTTTTAGATGTAGTGTTTTTACAATACCTTGAAAAATATTGATATTCAATACCATGGGTAATTATTATCATTATTATTATTATTATTATTATGGCAGAAATATATTACTTTTATAATACAACTGAACTGTACAAAAACCCACTTTATATTTAGTATATTATTTTACTTCACAAATGCAAATGGTTTACAAACACTTCTCATTGCAAATCTGCTTGAAAGTATGAAATTCTGTAATCATGCCCACAAAAATCTGAGAGAAGAGAGAGCGTGGTACAAGTGCAAGGTACCAGTGTATCAGTGCTGCGGAAAAGGAGTATTTTTAATAACATTAGGGAAGATTCTCTGCAAATAACTTGCATTTCAGTCCGTTCCTCACACAAAGCTTTTGTATGGCTTCTGAAGACTTGGAATATAATGTATGGTTTGTATAGACTACTTTAAGGGTATTTCTATGGTGCCTTTTTGCCATTTTTCTTTAATTTGGTCCATTTCCATTCATCTGCATTGTATGAAAAAGGGGCTGCATGAACATTTTGCTAACTTTCTCCTTTTGTGTTCTATGGAAGAACATTGTATGGGTTTGGAGTAAATGGTAATAGATTATGCATTTTTGGGTAAACCATTCCTTTAAAGCATATTCTGAGACGGCATTCATTTTTCTTCTTCAAGTCAAGGCCCCTCATTGAGTGGAAGTGGGTTTTGCAATGCTTTTCAGAATCCTGGAGTTTGCATGATTGCATGTATAGTCAATGACGAGACCAGAGAATGCCTCTCTTGGTTCAAGTGCGGTGAATAGGGGAGCATGGTACTCTTTTTGAAGTAACAGCGCAGCTCTTTTAACCAGACTTGGCATGCAAGGGCATCCTTCATCCTCCGATTAGTTAGTTCAGAAAACTCCGACTTCTAAGCGGCGCTCTCACTCCGTTTTACTTTCTAGGTGTTTTTTTCCTTTTGAATCTGTGTTCATGGGCCCTGGACGTGACGCATGCGTATTCAAACTCCAGACTGGAGAGACCACCCAAGAAACCATGTTTCTTTGAAAGGATTTTATCTTATTCTCAATAATGTCATGGTCCAGGTCCAGGATGCTGCTTTTTGGTGCCTGTTCATGCAGGAATTGGAATAGCCGATATATTACGGAATAGTCTCTCCTTCTCTGGATTTTATGATTCAAAATATGCATGAATTTTGTCTCTTTCTCACCCACCTGAAAAACATAGCTCATGCATGTCTGTTTTGTAAACTGTCTCACATTATAACCCAAGTTGTTAATATTCCCCCACATATTTCTGTATATATGTGTCATTCTCATTCACTGCCGTTTTCTTTTCCTATTTGTTAGTGTCAATTTCTTCTTTTCTATTTATTTTCACATTAATTGCACTCTTTTTAAATCAATTTGCACTCAAAAGTCGAGCTCGAGGAGAAAAGTATCTTATCGCTTAATGTTAATGTGCATCATCACAGTAACCTTTGGCTTTAAAAAACCATCAGGCTGTCCAAATGGCTGTCAGTTTGTCTGTAACGCATGTGAGTGAGTTAGCAAGAGCGACAGAATGAGGTTCATATTTATATGTGCTTCATGTTTGTAAGACTCTATGGCTATAATCTGTCCTAATGGCCATGTAGAAATTGTAACCTTTCCTTACTTTGACTGACTAAATAATTTTATGATCCATATTCTGAAAAAAAGTTTTGTATTGTACTGTTAAAAACCTCTTCAGAATGATGTGATGGTGTTTTCCCTCCCCTTTTCCTTGTTTTCTCACCCTGTTTTGCAGTACACCTCAAGCATGAGGGCCAAATATCTGGCAACCAGCCACCCAGACCAGTCCAGGCCATCAGAATCCCAGAACGGTCTGGAGCCCAACATGCGACCAGACTTGATCAGCCGCTCAGCTCCCAATAGCCGACCAAATTCAGCTATCCACCGACCCCACTCCGCCATCCATTAACCATCCTCAAATGCGTAACCAATATTCATCTACCCGTCAAGTCCACCAGTACAAAGTTTGTCTCCACCTCGATGTTCAGACATTTGCTAGTAAAGAAATTCACCCTAACATCTTTATCCGATTGGAATCAGCCATCCATGCTTATATACTCTGGCTTTTTAAAGACTCCATTCAACCAAACTTTTGTTAAAACTGCCCTTTTTTTTACTCCTCTAATCGCACACAATGCATCACAGCAACTACACTGCCCTCTTCTGGAGGACTCCTCTCAGTCGTCTGCACAGTAATTCCCATACTACCCTCACAGAGAGTCTCTCAGGGCAGCCATATTGGCAAGGACTGCAGGACCACATTACCACAGCAGGATAATGGTTTACACCACTGTCATTTTTAAGAGTCTTGCCGTGCTGTGCAAGAAATGTCACCTATGACATTTGATTTTATGATGGAGTTCTATTTTTAAGTATTTCGCAAATTACACTTGTCGATATAGTTTAACAAGGTTTTAACGATGCAGCTTTTGCGCTTTCTCTGCAGTTCCTGACAATATGGCAGTGTTCTACTAGTACAGCCACAATCCAAGGTATCCATCATTGCAATTTAATGTAAACGGAGATCTTTACAAGTGTTTATGGGTTCACTGCATACTTGTGACTCTGTGGATTAACAAATGTTTCTGTCATTGAAGGCCATTCTTTGTATTTACAGTACAGTGTAATCTATGGTGTTCTACAGTGTGAATTGACAGCCATCAAGCCTTTGAGCCATTATGCACATTCAGTATCTTATTCTAGAAGGGAAACAATTGCACAGCACACTAACAGTGTGTTTGCGTGCGTGGCATGTTTGCCTTGTGCATTAGTGAGTGTGTTTTAACTCGGCACAACTCGCGAGCTTTGCTCTTTGTAAATAGTAAGTGTTTTTGTACTTAAAAATGTCTAAATGATCAACACTACAAACTTGGTGCACTAATCTTCTGTGTAACAGTGCAGTGCAACATTTGCCGTGGCTTAAAGCTGCAGTGAAGAATACCTGTAAAAAAAAATTGTCAATGAACTCTGTGATGAAATAATAGTACATGTTTTGTAGACATATCACTTGAATTTGTGAATACACTTGTGGGTGCTTGTGTGTATGTGCACACTTTAAATGTGAATATTTCTAACGGAGGAAAATTTGCTCAGTGGAAAAGGAGAAGGGATACCTGGACATAAAGAGAAATGCCTCCCCACTGCCCCACATGTAAATCTTTTTTTTTTCTTTTTTTTTTCTCTCTCTTCGTTGTCCAGGCTTCACATTCTTTAGAAGGAGATTTTTCTTTGTCTTTTGTTTTGTAGTGAATCAGATTTGATTTTCACCATGGTCAGCCTTTTTCTTTATTTCTGTTTTACATCAATGGGGAAACACTTCTCTGTGGTGTTGATGAATCTGCAATATGGACACTGGACGTGTGCCACCAACAGGACTTTTGTGGTTTCGCCTCCTTTCCACCACAGGATTATTTTTTTTTTTTAAATGGATAGGGGAAAAAACTGATGGGACAATGAAACTGTGGAAAGTTCCTCCTTGTCATGCAGTCACTAAGTAAGACTTGTGTGGATGTAGTGTAAGATAACCTAGCTGTCTTTACCAGTGCAGTATTGTTGGTTTCATTTACTTGCATCCAGTGTCATAACGCTGACATTAGTGTTTAGACATTGTCATGACGCCAATCAACCGCTAATGTTATCATGCGTAAAATGTGGCATCTAATGCCACTCTCGAGACATCGCGATTCTTGAACGTAGGTGTTTATGGATTCTTTTAATTTGAATAAATATCATAAATTACATTAGCAGGTAGAAATGTCATTTTAAACTGGAAGATGCTATAATGCTCTATCTTTTCTGACTTTGTGACACCCTCAGTCGATTGAGGTTGCGTGTTGTTTGAATTAATCTTTTTGTGTAACAAAAGTGGATGCTGTGTTTGGATGCAAACAGGAAAGGGCTTGTATCCCTAACCCTTAAAACTCATGCACAGATATGCTTTGACCATGTAGTGTCAGGCAACCACGGTTACAATCCTAGAAAAACACTCATGCACAAAAAGCAACACTAAACGTTTCACATAAACACAGAATATTACAGAAAAAGTCATAGTGGACAAAAATGCACCTTAACACTCAATAGACACAATGTAAAAATGCTCTAAAATATGTGAGTCTTTTTGCAGTATTTACATGTATTCAACCACTAACCATTATATAGAGACAATCCAAATGTTCAGATCTATGATTCTGTACCATATGATGCAGTTGCACGACTGAAGGAAAAATATTAGGAAGAAATATTCTGCCTTTCGTAACATTTTCATACAGTAACCTTTCTTTCTGTAAATGTACACATTTTTTTTCTAGCGTATTGTTAGCTTTCAATTGTATAGACCATAACAAATGAGCCTACTCACTCCTTTCTAAATGTGAATAATGATTTGTCATAAATTGATGTTTTGATAACAATTCTTATGGATTTTTCATGTTTTTTATTTTTATTTTTTTCATTTGTGATTTAAGATGTTGTACATGTCAGGAAAATTGATTTTCTGAGCCTGGATTTAATGTTTTAATAATATATTAAAATGAACTTATCTGGTGCAGGGTGTTGAGCATCAGTGCCTGAAGACAGAAAAAGACTTTATCGAGGTATGCATTTATCAAGGTATGCTCTTAAAAAAAATCTTGGCCCTGGAATTTTGATGCTTAAAATGGAAAGATAAGCTATGAACGTATGCCAAAGTACTTGAATAGAGAATTTGTACACTTGTTTGTTTGAAAACTGCATGAAGTATGTGAGCAGGTGTACATTTAAAATTAGATCATGTTGTAGTAGAACAACAAAAAAATGCAGTTGGGCTGTTAATAAACTGCTATCTTTAAATGCCATATAGAAAAGTAGTCTAAACTTGTGTGTTGTTCCTGGGATGGCTGCTATCCAAAGCCATTATTATAACATGCACTAGACACGTGTAAAGTAGGCTACATTGGTATTGCTTGTATAGACATTGATTTAGTATTAAAGGGATGGTTCGCACTAAACGGAAAATTCTTTTTTCATATTCACCCTCATGTCGTTTCCAGGATTCCAGAATTTCCAGGGCCCAGACTGCTCTTTTTCATATCTCACCTACTACCGCAATGGGGAGTTGGGTTTACAAGCAACAAAAGTTGCCACCAAATATATTTATATTTTTGTGAATTTAAACAAGTCTATAATAGGCCTACATATCTGTTCAATACTTGTCTGTATTAAGTTCCGTTGTCACGTCTTATTTTCGCCACACGTTTTCTGGCACCAGGATTCGTTCGTTGGAGAGACGCATTTTTAATATTGCTACAACTAGTAGACATGCAGCCAGCTATACAACAGCCTAATTTTCATAAAATAAAAAAAAGACATCTAGGTTATTTTCAGGTAATGTTACAGAGGCTGTGTAAAAACAATTTAATTGTCAAAAAAAAAGAAAGAAAAGATTTTCTCTTTAAATCGTTTAAAAGACCATTGTGTGAAGTTGGTGAGTTGATCAGTTTAGCGCGCGCGGCAGTTTTGTCCACAGTTTTAAAGTCCACATGACACCAAAATTTAACTTATTTGGCTTTTAGTATGAATATGTTAGCCTAATTGTTATTTATAAGCTAGTGTGCTCCAAAACAATGACAAAATTCGCATGATTTGGAAGATAAACATTCAATTTTGATGACATCACTCTGCACTTCAGCTTCTCATCAGATTTACTGTCCAATCAAATGCTCTCTAGAATCTGACGTGTCCCGCCCTACATTATAAATCGCTCATTTGTTCAGAGTCACACGTTTACTATTTTCTACGTGGTAAATGGCCTATAGTAGGCTACATTAAAAGCGAAAGCGAGAATGGGAGTATATTTGGATCAATATAACTTTGATTTTATAGTTATCACCAATCACCGCACTGCCACTCCTCAGAGTAGCCTTTGTTGACATTCATGAATAGGCTATTTAACAAATAATCAATATCTTGATATTTCGTTTTCATATAAAAGGGTCAGGAGACCAAATTTGTTTGAACTTTTGTCTGCTTAGGCTTATTCAAGTCTTGGTTGTTTAACCCTTGTGCGTCCATAAGGACATTTATGGACATTTTTGTCTTTTTCAGTTTTTGCCTGTGTTAACGCTGACTGCATAAATTTTGGCACAAGTGAGTATTTTTTGGGGGGAATTTTACTATTTCACCCCCATTTCCTTTAATAAATCTATTTTGCACTAGGTACACAAAACAGTTTCACTAGGATCTTAAGAACAAAAATGTCCCGATTGAAACCCATTAAAACTGCCATTTTTAATCCCATGATACAGTCTTTGTTAATAGGCTTTCAATCTGTTGGCAAGGCTTCAAAATAAACATGTTTACTATTTTTTACCAGATGGTGCCTTTTTCTCAGATTTGGCCTAAAGCAAATCGCTTTATTCCTGTTTTCTGCTTCTGCAGAGCCAATTGGATAAATTATAAAGCTATAATGTTTTAGCGGCCAAGGGTCTTTTTTAAAAATGAGACCAAACTTTAGTCTGTGCTCCAAAGCTTACAATTTTTATGACAGTTTTTTGTTGTTGACATTTTTGTCCTCTAGGACCTAACTTTTTCAAATTGATGCACAAGGGTTAAATTATGATATGGTGTATTGTAATTGCATCTATATCACAGGGCTTATACGAATAATGCTCCAGAGTAATTGCAGTAGGCACAGACGTAGAACAGAAATTCTGCACAGATGGTGTGCCAGAAAATGGGAAACTCTTACTTAGCCTATAATGAATTCAGAAAAAGGAGAAATATATCACATGAAATGTGCTGACAGGTGAAAGTAACATTGTGGTCCAGAACAGAGTGTGAGTTAATTAAGGGATGAACGGGTGCAGATCTACAGTAGCTATACACATGTGAGCTTGGTTTCTCTCTCAATCATATGCTATTATTGCATAAAGAAATTATTCTTTTTTGGCCCCTTAACATGTTGCAACGTGCAATTGTTTTCATAACAATATTATTTTTTATATGTGTAATGATGAAAAGAATAGTTTATATTTATTTTTTAAATTGCAATTTATTTAAGGAAGTTCTGATTTAAATTTTGTTTATTTATTTTTTTAAATCGTGTCCACTCCAGACTGATGTATTTCAGTATAGTCTAATGAGAGTGAGATTTTTATGGTAGAGCAGAAAATGACTAGGGTGGGCTTCTATTATTAATTTCATTCTATTTACTACATTTCATCACTTTACAACTTAAATATTTAAATGATTGTACCTGGCTGGACGTGCTCTTCTTGCCACAGGGTTGCTCAGGAGGAAAGCACAGCTGGTGACCGGCGGCTGTCAGTGTCTTCATCTGCCGCGAGGGGGCGCATGTGCGCAGCGATCGCACACAGTTAAAGACAAAGCTTCAGCTTGCCTTGAACCTCAACCGATAACTCACTCATCTCCTTTACCAGAGGTCGTGAACAGGTAACTGACGCCTCAACGCGCTGGATTTAATGGAAGTCTGTTGGAAAATGTACGTTGATATTTACCTGGAGGACATATATTAACTTTTGACCTATTGGAAGATACATCAGAGCGTTATGATCGTTTGAGTAAGTAGCCATCCATTTCAAATCCATCTGTGTGTAAAATTAGCTGTGTTCTGTGTCGACTGCTGAATATGTTTCGTCTTTTTAAAATATATATTTTATCTACAATTATTATTGATAGCAATAACATTTATATCGAGGGCATAGTGTTTTAATAAGTTATGAAGATATTTCTGCTTTTTTAATCTTAAATTATTTAACTTCATCGGCATGTAGGCCTATATTATTATTATAAAATATTATGTTTTATGTTATTTTATATTCATAAAATAAAAATGGTAACCAATAAGTACAAGCGTTTTTATGAATGGATTAAAACATTTGCAACACCATTCATGATTATACATCAGCATGACTGCAAATCAGTTTGACAGGTGAATTGGGGAAAACAAAGCTATTTATTGATACAAAGTAAAAACCTTTCTGTCTTATTTACTGCTGTAAGCACTTTAAATTTAATATGGGAATCTCAGCTTCCCTTATACACACACTATGCAGCGTGAGACTGAAAGTATGAATAAATCAAAGGATTTGGAAAGCTTTTACTTGTTCGCGGCTTTTCTACATTCTTTTAAGGGGTATGTGAATAAATGTGTATGTCCGTGGCGTGTCATGTGCATCTATGTGTGTAACTGTCTCTGTCCTTTTTCAGGTCATACATGAAGATACATATGACCTCAAGATGTGAAGGAAGAAAACAAAGGAATGAAGACGAGGTATACATATTAGATAAAGAAGAGGGTCTTGTTTGCTTTTGTTGTCATCTATATTGTCTGGGGAGTTAAAAGTGAATGGTGTAGTCAATACTTTGTGGAAGAAGAGATGCATTGGCTTTGAGTTAGTGAAACGACAAAAGGAAAGAATGGATTTCACATCATCTGCTTTTTGCTGTCATGGCCTTCGAGCTTTTTTGTGCATGAATGGAAACGTTAGTACCTGCAAAGTAAAGTAAAAACTTCAAACTGTTACCATGTAGTTTAGTCATGATGTAGTTCTGTCATAGTTGACCCACTCAACATCACGGGAAAACCACTATGAATCTGACCCCAGATCAGCCACCAACCCAGTTCTACGCCCTTCCCAGGGCATTGGACCTTCAACGTGAACCTCAAAACAAGAGCAGGTCGACTCCAGCCAGCTTCTTCAACAGCTCCTTCTTCTTCCAGGATAATGCTGCTTTAGAATGGCAGCTGTTCCTCACCATCCGAGAGCCTGGCACCATTATATTGACTGTCCTTTACTCTATTTCCTTCCTTGTGGGTTTCTTAGGAAATGTCATGTCCCTCAAAGTCCTTCTTGGCCAGCATGGAAGCATGCGTCTGTCGGGTGCGAGCGCCACCCGCTGCCTGCTGATAAACCTAGCGGTGTGCGATCTAGCAGTTGTTTGCGTGTGCATGCCCGTCACCCTCGGCCACCGCATCTACACACCATGGGTGTACGGAGACTTTCTGTGCCGCGCGGTGCCATTCACGCAAGCGGTGTCAGTTTCGGCCAGCGTCCTGAGCATCACTGTCATCAGCATCAGCCGGTACTATGCTGTTCACTCGCCGCTACAATCCCGAGCCTACTTCACTCGTCGACGCATCCTCGCCTCCGTCACAATCGTGTGGATCGTCTCCTCAGTGATCTGCATGCCCGTTGCAATAGTTACCAGGCGTGATGAAGTAGCTTTGATCGAAGGGCTGGCCATCGTGCTGCCCGTGTGTGCAGAGGTGTGGCCTCAGCCACGCTTGCGACAGGCGTACAACGTCCTGCTGTTCAGCGCACTCTACTGCCTACCTGTCGCGTTCAATCTTACTCTAGCCTTCCTCACGTGTCGCCGGCTGCGCAGCACTGGCACCGAGGGTCATTTCACAGAGCTGGACCCCCGTTCTCAGGCGCTTCATGAAACGAGGTTGCAGGGGCGCAAGCAGATCGCACGTATGGTCGCAGCTTTGGTGCTGCTCTTCGCTCTGTCATGGTTGCCTATGTACGTGACTGATATTTGGCTGGACCGTGAGCTCCGCCATCCACCGGACTGGCTCTTACAGACCAGACCCTTTGCACAATGGTTAGGCCTCACCAACTCTTCTCTCAACCCATTTTGCTACTGCTTCATTGGTGACCTCCACCGCTCAGCCAAGGCTTTGCGTTTGCGCCTCTGTGGCCCGTCCCCAGCCTCAGCGCTGGCTCTGGCCTCCCTCCCAAAAATATTCAACCTACAGAATCAAGACAAACCTCCAGGGAGCGCCGCTCTCAACACAACCAACTCCTGTGGAGAGGATAATGGAAATCTGAATCTGTCGATGTGGTGGACTCAATCTCGCACGTGTGAGTCGGTGAGCTTACCTTACCACTTAGGAATGAGCGAGGCGATTGCACTGGATACATAGCAGCCCTGATGCACCGCTGTGGACATTCGCTCACAGATGTGTTGTGCTTTGTGCTTCTATAAACCCTTCATTTCAAACCTCTTTGACTTTCTTTCTTTTTCAAACAGCATTGGACCCCATTGACTTTCATTGTATGGACAAAAAATGCACTTTTCGGAATAAATTATTTTGGATTCCACAGAAAACAAACAAAGTCATACCGGTTTGGCTGACTCCTATGGAAGCTTGTTTCCGCCACAGAATAAAAAATAAAAAAGGTAATGGCGACTTTTTATCTCACAATTCTGACTTTTGTTTTTTTTTTAAATGGCGAGTTTACATCTTGCATTTCTGAGTTTTTATCTCTGAATTGCTTGATACAACGTCGCAAATGGGTTATGATGAAGTCAGAATTGCATGCTATAAAGTCGCAATTGCGTGTTATAAGGTCAGAATCGTGAGATATAAACTCGCAATTGCATGAAAGAAAGTCGCAATTATCTTTCAAAATGTTTTATTCTGTGAAAAATAGCTTTCAGTTTGAGGGAAAATTGTCAAACAATTATTTTGCGGAATATTCTCAAGTGGGAATGGGACAGTCATGTGTGAGCATCTTTTTAATCATACATTAATTGTTTAACTGCATAGTGACGAAACCATTCATATTCCAGTTGGAGTAGATGTAACTCTTAGCCATGTTTAGATCTTCTGTAAATGTACTAATAATATGTAGCTAATAAATGTCTTGCCATTTACAACTTAAGTACCATGTAAGAAATCCATATCGTGAAGGAATAAAGTGGTTTAATGCAGAATGTATAAGGTTATGCTGCTAAGTTTAGCTTAGAGCAGTGTCTTAAAATAAACCAAACGTCATTAATGCTGCTCCTACGTCTAGCAGAGCAGCAATTAAAATGATCATCCGAGTGAAACCGAGACATATACATAAGCACTCACACCTACAATCTCTGGTGAAGAAACGTCATGGAAAGTCTTTCTGTGAACACAGCTTCTCACCTTCCCTACTAAATGTGGAAACCATCTGCATCTCGTCATCGCCCTCTTCTTAGTGTTATCTTTCTGAAGTCAGAGCAGAAACTTAGTTTCTAAACTACACTACACCGTCCAAAAGTTTAGGGTCAGTAGGAAAGAAATTGATACTTTTATTCAGAAAGGACTAACTGTCAAAAGTGGCAGTAAAGACATGTATGATGTCACAAACCATTTCTATTTCTTTTGAACTTTATATTCCTCAAAGAATCCTAAAAAAAAAAGGTAAGCAGCAAATGTGTTCAGTATTGATAATAATAAGACATTTTTTCTTGAGCACCAAATCAGCACATTAGAATTAGGGATGCACGATATATTTGCCACCATATCGGTATCGGCCGATATATGTACATTTTTAATGTTATTGTTATCGGCCTGATAAGAAAATTTAGCCGATATATTAAAGCCGATAAATAATGGATTATTTCCGCACTGCTCGCCATGATGGTTTTGAATTGCTTGAAATATGATTAGAATCACTTCCAAAAAGGAAAATACAGCAACATGTGCGGCACAAGTCTGTCATATAGGCTACATAAAATTATAATGAGAACATTATAATTGTATGCTTGAGACATGGATTTTAATGGTGAGACCTTTGTTTTTGTAATCAGGCTCTCAAAAAGTACATACAAAATTGGATATAGATTTATCGGCCAATATATCGGTTATCAGCTTTCAAATATAAAGAATTATTGGTTATCAGTATCTGCCAAAATTTTCATATGGGTGCATCCCTAATTAGAATGTGACACTGAAGATGGGAGAAGTGATGCTGAAATTCAGCTTTGCATCACATGAATCAATTACATTTTAAAATATATTATAATTTTTGTGATAATAATTCACATTATACTGCTTTACTGTATTATTGATTAAGTAAATGCAGCCTTGGAATGAGCATAAGAGACTTATTTAAAAAAAATTACTGGTAGTGTATGTAGAAATTACAGTGACTGCAACTTCAACCTAATGAGACAAAAATGATGTTTGGATAATATCTTTGGTTTAAAGGTTCTCTAAGCGATCCTGGGTGACGTCACTTCTTGTTGACGTTCGAACTATTGTCAAACAAAACGGAGGCTAGCTAGACCCTCCCTCCTCCTCATCCGCACACTAACCCCCCAAACCCTTCTTGTCGGTCATTGGCTGGAACAGTTTGTTATGTTTTGGGGAGCGGGTCGCTGCAGTTTGTTTTTGGTGCTGTTTGTGAAGCATGGGCTGTCTACAGAGATCGCGTTTCTTTACAGTGTGTTCAGGGGACAGGCAGCCAGCGGATAGTGAGGAGATGTTTGCTGTATGTGACAAAAAATGTTTTGGCCTAAAAAACACATGACATCGCTTAGAGCACCTTTAATAATAAATAAAAAAAGCTGTGTAATGTCTGTCACTATGTCTTAAACATATTCTGAGGAGGAATGCCTTCTGGTGAAAATGCTCAATATTTTATTGACTTGGAAATATTATAGAAGCAGTTGCATAAGAAGCTACAGTAACTGAAAAGAAATTTGACAGGTATGATGGAGGGAGACCATAGTCAAATATTTTTAAATATATATATTTCAGTCATTAGCTTACAAAAAATACACTATGGCATTATAGTGTATGCTGTTATATAGGTTATACTTCTCTGTCCTATTTTGTTTTTTTTACACACATTTATACGGGTACATATTTTCCCATGAGTTCTGCAAATATGAAGTTTTCTGCAATATAGACGTGGTAGGTGTCTTGTAAAGTTCCACTATCTTGGCATTGCTATCTATGTTCAATTTCGATTAAGCAATCAATATAAAAGCATTATGTCTCAGAGAGGACATGACCTCAGATTTGTAAATATAATTTATAATTATAACTGCATTTCATTTTGTACCAACTGCTCTTGCTCTTTGTACCCACCATCTCCCTCTCCTGCTCAACTAATCAGCCAGAAGCTTTCAAGTGACCTGTAGTGGAGTCAGTGCACAATTGATTCTGACCAATTGAATGTGGGTACCTGATAACATGATCGCATAGAGACCAAACTGTTCTGCTGCTGTTTCTCTACACATGTACATGCCTTATCTAGTTGGAGGAAAGTGCTACATCAAAAGCATTGCATTTATAAGACGCTGTGCCGGCTTCTTGAGATGTACATTCTGTTCCATTCTGTTGCGCTCCATCCACCTCTTAGCAGTTTAGACAACCCACCGACTAGGTCATTTTCAAAAGAATCTTCCTTAGGCCCTCAATACATTCAGCCATGAAACTGCATTAGGGATTTTTCTGCATCTGTTTTCATCACGCTTACATTATGTAATTATACAAACCTATAAATAACTGCATCTCTGTTGCCCAAGTGGTGTACAATAATGTTTTCAAAACTTGAAATGTTTTAACTCAGTACTAAGGTAACAATTTAAGTAAACAATTTTAAGTACCGGTACTAAGAGCACTAGACTATGGGCGTTCACACTGGGCAGGTTTGACTCGATTAAAACTAACCCTGGAAAGGTGGGTCTCTGTCCGCTTCCAAACGAACTCTGGTGCGGTTTGACTGAAATATGAACGCAACACAGGCCGAAGACATATAAATGAACCGAAAACAGGATATGATGTCACAAGATGCGGCCCTAAAAAGGACAGAATGCTGAAGCAAACCCTTTTTTCCCCAACCCGATCTCACGGCAATTCGTACGTATTTAACGAGTTGGCTAATTTGTACGAATTCATACGACCTCACTCGCACGAATTCGTACGATTTTTGCTAAATCGTACATATTTTACGAGTTGCCCAATTCGTATGAATTAGTACGAATGACATACCCCTGACCCCGCCCCTAAACCTACCCATCACTGGGGTGTAGACAAATCGTACGAATTCGTAAGAGTGAGTTTGTACGAATTAGTCACCTCGTAGCCTACTCACTCGTACGAATTGGTTGTGAGATAGCTTCTCCTTGCAGCATATCTCCATTTGTGTGTGTAACAGAGGATTTCCTGCCGCTGTTTTGACCCCTTTACACATTTTGTAAGTTCTTTGTGAGTTCTCAGCTGGTCAAAATACCATCATATGTACGCACATACAACGGGCCCATTAGGCCCAGTACACAGCCTTGTATTGGATGATTGATCATTTCTGTTGTAAACAATACTTCATAAAAGCTGTTTGTCATTTTGTATCTGTCAGTGTTAATAATGACAGTGTGAACACTAAACGAACCAGGACTAAATATATAATTTTCTTTTTTGGTCCTCCTGACCAAAAGAACCAAGAGAACCGAACTACAAATATGAACAGACCCTAAAAATACTCAAAGAAGCATAAGGAGTTTGTAAATACACCAGTATTCAGACAAATCCCTGAAGTGATTTTGTAAACTTTGGAGTGTTTTCTTTCTCATCAAGCAAATTCTTTGATGAAGCATGCGCATACATATTGCATCTTAAAATTAATAATGACTGTCTGTGAATTCTGCAGTCCTGGCTTTCTCATACATTATTAATGAGTTCATCTTCATCAGCACAATCTGTGTAGATTGATAGTGACATTTTGCCCGAGGGATATGTGGGTAAATTTAGTAGTTGTGTGTGTATTCTACATGCACCTGTCATGGAGGTGTAACTACATGCACTACATGGCCAAAAGTATGTGTACACCCAAACACTACACCCATATGAGCTTGAAAACATTTAAATTGAAAAATCATGGATGTTAATCAGGAGCGCATTGAAGGGTTAGTTCACCCAAAAATGATAATTCTGTCAGTAATTACTCACCCTCATGTTGTTCCAACCCCGTAAGACTTTCGTTCATCTTCGGAACACAAATTAAGATATTTTTTATTAAATCTGAGAGCTGGATCATTCCTCCATAGGCTTCTTAAGGGATCGAAACTGGCCGGGCCAAAAATTATGAAAGACATCGTTAAAATAGTCCGAGTGACTACAGTGGCTCAATCTTAAGTTTATCAAGCGACGAGAATGCGCAAAAAAACAAACAAAAATAACGACTTTATTCAACTAATCATTTCCTTCTCTGTGGGCCGTGAGATTTCACGTAGTGATATTGCGCAAAGCTTCTAGGTTGTACGTCACACGTAGGCTCACTATTGGCCGACGCTGGTCACGTGTGTGATGCGTGACGTACAACCTAGAAGAAAAGTCGTTATTTTTGTTTGTTTTTTTGCGCACAAAAAGTATTCTCGTCGCTTGATAATTGCTGGAGGTAGAGGTAATTGATGGAGGATTGATCCAGCTCTCAGATTTAATCAAAAATATCTTCATTTGTGTTCCGAAGATGAACAAAAGTCTTACGGGGTTGGAACAACATG